ACGCACTACAATGAAGCGTACATTTGAACACCGACGATTAGTAATGAACCCTAGTCTACTTGAACACTAACAAGCCCCCGGATTTATGACTCAGTCGAATCTATTCCGAACCTGGCTAGCGTGTAGAACGTAATATTAGTAGTAGGAAACAGCATAATAGAGTTTCGCGCTCACCGATGTATACCATTCGTGCCGATTCGCTGGTACATAAAGAATTTGAACCAATGAACGCTTGTACGAAAGATGTGTGTATGTCATCCGTTCTCACCAGTTTAAATGTGCTCATTTTTTTCATTGTGTTGACTACAATCAAATGCCCGCCACAGAATCAAGTCTTATATTACAGGTGTGGGTGGATGTCTTCATTTGAACCTACCGGAGTCGATTCTCAGTTTGATATTAGCGTTTTATGTGCTGATATTTGTGAATAGTTTTGTGAGACAATTAGTATTCAACTAACTATCCTTCAAACTTCTTTTTCACGCACAGCTCCCAAACCATCGATTGATTCAAATGAAAATGATACTTATAACACAATACTACTTGTGAGTAGTTAGGAACTAAACCTCTTATTTCACAAATGCATCAAATTTCCCGCATACATTGAAAGCAGACTTAAGCCCATATTTACCGACGATTTTACTAAAACTCCAGGTATTCTTTTTTACTCCTTATCTGTTTGATAAACTTAGTGACCTATCCAGTATTCAAACCGAGATGTATCGATTTGTACAGGAACAATACGTGGCACAACAGCGCAAAATTCCCCCCTCGATCACGATGCGTTCTCCGCGGTCTTCCACTGTCATGGAACATAGCCCCAGAAAACAACAACAAGACGGCCTCGTATACGGCGGTGTAAACGGCACGGGAGCATGTGCTGCGATTACCACACGTTTATCACACTATCGTTTTTTAACCTACGACCTGAATCAACCGAAAGAACCGAGCACATTCGAGAATGGAAGCGGTGATCGTTCAGAATGTTTGCTTCGACAAAGGCATGGGGCTCGACCGCGTGTGGGAGATGTGCTGATATTTCTCAATGGTCATCTTGCATACATCGGTTCTACTCTGAGTGGGTATCCGGGAGAGTGTCTGACCGAAAGGGATTTAGAAAAACGTGTTCTGGAGTGCCAGTATGCCGTATTCAATCGGGGCTTTAACCTGCCGACAGATTTCCAATTCCCTTAGACTTATTTTAATTTGTTCGTGAAAACATTTTACAAAGAAGCATGGCTTTTGTGTGCATTTGATATTTGCGAAATATATTTATATATTGAACATCGAGTGTATTTCTTTTTCTATTTCATTTTAAATCTTTCGCACTACTGGAAACGGTCAGCGTTAGCTGACAATCACCTCGATGACTTATATGTATGCATACATATATATACATATATATATATATATAAGTAGTATGTGAATGACTGGACAAGATTGCCCTGGAAGCACACGACCGGTTTCGTGGCCCTTGCCGCTCGTCAGGCATGCGTATCCGGTAATCTTTGTCTGTTCATTCATATACTTGTACCCAGGAAGTGTATTTTCATCACAATAACCTTGTTTACAACACCGGGGAACCATTGGATAGACAGTTCTTTCAGAGCCAGTCCATTGAAGAATCAATGCTATGATTCAGTGTCTTTGTAAGTGGGTTATATGCTACTAACCGCAACAAACGTGACTACTTACTATGAAATACTCTACCAAGACCATCAGGTCACGTTTGTTGCGGTTAGTAGCATCTAACCCACTTACAAAACATCGAATCATAGCACTGATTCTTCAGTAGACTGGCTCTGAAACAGCAGTCTATCCAATGGTCACCCGATGTTGCAAACAAGGTTATTATGACGAATATATTTATATACATATATGTTTATATATATAATTGATACCCCAAAGGACGTTTCTCTCAGTAAACAAAGTTCAATTTACTCGTCGCTGAGTACAAAGATAACAGTGCTAGCCGAGGAACGAATGGGTTCCAGATTTGCAGTAATTTATGACATATTAAAGGGTTTGGGAGTCTGGAATTTGAACGATATGCAAAAAGGTGGTGTATGCCGACAGCAAGCAAATGTTGTAGTTACACTTTACCCTAACAACTTTCCGTTTACGTTTGCACAACCATCAACCATGCACCTTCGTGCGCCCGTTTTAGTCGCTGTCTCCTGACTGCCCCTTTTTGGATGAAGCATTTGCAGAAAGACAGGGAGGTGAAAATAGAGTTAAAGAGAAACTGAAAAATTTCATTGGACTAAGGTTGCAAGGAAATTGAGACGATGCACGGCCGTCGTTGTTTACGACACTCAGCCATACCAGTTACGATCATCCGAAATTCCTCATCCAAGGATCTACACGGGACCTATGTGACCGAGTATCCTGGTTAGGGTTTGCATACACAAAACATTTTTTCTCACCATACTTGTCTACAAGCCAGTGATACATAGATATTAATATCTTCGTTCCCGGTCTTAGATTCATCACCGTTGGCTTTGTTCCACCCACTACCTTCCTCGGCGAACATCGCTCGCCGCGGCAACCTATTTGGTGACATGCGTAACACTTGCCCCTAACCAACTTAATCCACGGAAGTCGACGACTTGCTCCAGTGGGAAACCGCGGTTACCTAAAATTCTGCGCCTGACCTCAGCATTGTTAGTCCGGCTTCCCCATCAGACTTGGACTATCCGACGTAAACAGCGGTGTTCTAACAGCGAGTCTATCTTTATCCTGATTTCTTCATGGCCAACTTTCGACGCCGTATCAAGCGATCATTTCATTTAACTTTGACCTTTATTTCGGTCAAAATTAGGCTATTTTAGGTGAGTTTTGTTGATATGTAAAGCCTAATGATCAAATATAGTCTAAATTACTGACTTGATCAGTGATAAACGTGATTTTGAGTGGCAAAAGTCTTTGCTGATACACAGCTGTTTCGTCCTTTATTTCGGGACTCGTCAGCAGTGTGTCGATGTATATATATATATTTTGCTTTTTTTGTTTTACTCGGACCTTTTTGAGAAAGGACTGAAATCCCCGCGGGGTGAGACAACATACAACCGGAGCTTTTTGTACGTCCCTGATCCCGGTAAACAACCGAACCGAATGAACGAACACACACTGAACGAGAGAGGTTAGAAATTATGCTGAACTTGCCTGGATTCTGGGCAATTTCACATGGATTTGGCAACGGATCGTCGTAGATAAATTTCTCAAACGCATCCCATACATGTTCGCGATAGGATTCAAACACCAGTGGTTGATTCTGATAGTTCCCGGTCAAAATAAGCATGTCCAATCCGTGAAATGCCAAACGTCGATTTCCGGATTTCGGTGGTGCTGGTATATGAGAATAGGAATAGCGCGGGGCTTCTCGATGTATGATATGATAGAACCGAGTGCGAACAATATCATCATCCACGGTCCGATTGAATAACCAGTTGGTCATTAACCATGCCTGTGGACAAGTGTATCGTACCATGCTCAATATGCTTAGCATGAGATCCCAGTCTTTCAGCCGTGCAGGCCATGCTCCCGGTCTGCGAGATCGAATTTCCTCGTATTGTATCAAACGATCGAACAGGCCTTTAAAGGGTGGAAATGCGACTTGATTGAGTAGTTCTTTAAAGGAGGCCATATCACTTGGACTTTCGTCTGCGGTCCCTGGAAATCCTTCGAATTCGTGTGACATGGATGAGAATACCAGAGTGTGTAAATTTGGTTTTGTATAGTTGTTGTCTGTTTTTGGCCCAAAAACAATGCGGTAGAAGGAGTTTTGGACGCACGGAAACGGTGAGATAGGATAGAATAACTAATTTAATAGATCTGATAAGAATATTTTCATGAATTCAACGAAGAAACAGTACAACGAACCTCGAATCTCACATACAGAACGCGTGTAACACACATACACTTGATCATCTGAGAGTGTATTAGACTATGGTACTTGCATAGCGTGAACAAAGTGCTAAATGCAAAGCCAAGAGGCACTGAACAGCTGTTTCCACCTGATTGTGTCCTATTCCACCAGTCCCAATCCATCAACCCAATTGGTTATCGAGAACCAAGGGACCTCATCACAGGTAGAATGCTTCCAACTTGACCATCCCGGGAGCATCTGACCCGACCACCATATAGTACAACCCACATTTGCGAGCCTACTGCGGACATCGCACCTCGAGTATCTCAACACTAGCCTCCCGGGGTTATCAATCCGTTGAAAACATACCCAACCTAACTACTTAATTCATGTGAGTAACGGAAGGATTTGATTCAACTTCAAAGTGGAAATTTGGCGTGTATATGTCAAATGAAGTGTGAATTGAAAAGCTAGGAATCACTGGACAGCTGTTTCGACCCCGGAGGCTAGTGCTGAGATGGGTGAGGTCTGTGACCTGTAACAAGCTCGCAAAAATGGGTTGTGCTGTTTATCGTGTAAATGGAAAATGAAAAAAAATACGGTCTGATCAACTGCCCCGAGGTAGCCGAGTGAGTATTATGCTTGCGTTCTGCCCATGAGGTCCCGGGTTCGATCGCCAGTTGGGTCGATAAATTTGCACTGCTGGAATGAGACCCAACCAGGTCGAAACAGCTGCCCAGCAGCGCGTCGTAGCTTTCCAGTTCACGCTTTATTTACCACATACACGACGAATTTCCACCTTGAAACTGAATCAAATCCTCCTATAGTCACATAGCCCAATCCATCTTTGTGCGAGCTTCATGCAGGCATCGCACATTGCGCATATAAGCCCTATTTTCCCGGGGTTGTGATTAGGTTAGAAACATTGTGAACCATTCTGAACAATTGGCACGTAAGAGTAGTCCAGGATTTGAGTTAATTATACATGATGAATTTCATCGTGTTATGAGAAAGAAAGAAAGAAAGAAAGAAAGAAAGCGTGAACGGAAAAGCTGGAACGAATTCGATCCTCGGCTGGCAAAGGGGGGGGGGGCATGAGACTCAAGCAGATCTGGGTCAGTTATGCAATACCCTGCTTGTACCTTAGTTGTTCAGTTCATGCTTCATTTACTCTGCACCTCATTTACTGCTCCCGTACCTGACCTCCGTGGCACGATTTCTTCGGAAGGCAAAGTGAACTTGTCTGATCATCTGTTCTATGGTCAAGTACATCGTACACTTGCGTCCTTACTCTGGGGTTCCGGGATCGTTAAAACACTTGTAGATAAATTCCGAACGTTTCAGTCCCTATATATATATGTATATATATGTATATGTATAGGAATAACTGGACAAAATTTCCCTGGAAGCACATGACCGGTTTCGTGGTTTTTGTCGCTCATCAGGCATGCGTACCCGGTAATCTTTTGTCAGTTCATTCATATAACTGTACCCAGGAGGTTTATTTTTTCTCTTGGAGAATTCTGGACATGTTGTTGTTGTTGTTGTTTTAATCCTAGAACTTACCGATCAATGACGTGTGAGTATTGTCTGCACACTGAGACTCGAATCTTCAAAATCAGAGTTGAGTAACGGATGCGTGACACAAGATTCTAGTGTAAAACCAAATTTAATCGTTTACCTGTGGCGTCTGATACCGGTAAAATTGCATAGATTATACCGCCACTACTATCCAGTTCGGATTCATCTTCTCTGTGCACAGCAAATTCGGAATCAGGTCTTTGGAAACAGCCATGACCTAGTTTACAATCTCTGCGGGGCTCATTGTTTCGTTTCCCAGAAGTGTTTATTCAACTCAAACTGACATGCTTTTCATTATGCTGCAAGAACAACAGGTAAGTACGTAAGTAAGAACAACAAACGATTTTCTATCACGTGTCATTCCATCTTCCGGTACATTATGTATTTTATGTTCCATCTTCGTCTGAGTTCAGACTGCGGATTACGGCAAGGTTACCCACACCAATTCAAATGAATTTTCTAGAGGAATTTGCGACCGGAGCGTTTGGCTAATGAAAGCCTGGCCCGCAGGGTAGCGATGCAATGCGCGTGTGTGTGTGTGTGTGTGTGTAGACCGCGATTAATTGGGAACTGGTGACCGCTGTCACTGGCAAATTCGTGGAATTGATTAAATGATCGCTAAGTTCAATTGGTTAAACCGAAGACTGTTTTATTAAAAAAAATTGTTTAAAATTACGGCATGATCTATGAAAGGACAACGGCCTACAATCAATTTGGTAGACTGAATGGAAACCTTTAAAAGGGCCATCATGTAGTTTGTACTCTTCCGATTGCCGTCTACTCTATTCGATCACTGCTTATTACCACAAATCCGTATCAGGGATCTTATCACCAACACGATTAAGTAGTCCTGTACCTCCTTTGAAATATGCACATGATTTTGTGCTGTGCCAACCCATTTCTTCTTCCTCCAATCTAAGCTCCTTCACCAACGACAATATTGATCAAATCTAGTCATTCTCCTCCTTATTGGGGCTAACTTTAAACCCCAGTAAATGTGTTGAATGGTCATATAGTTTTGAACGATTTTCATATCCGAAAGACCTCAGGTTTTAGTAAATAACAATCCTTTATCTAGGGTGAACTCTGTCAAATATCCTTCTTGAACAAATCACATCCACGACTGTATCGGGAAACTCCAGTTTCTATCGTTTCAAATTCGAAAGCTCAAACAGAGTCGCGTATTCCCCTTTCAGTTATTTCTATCTTTGTGTATCAGTGTGTTCTCCTCCACAAAAATTTATTGTTTCCTGATCTACTTAAACAGGATGTCAAATTCTTACGACACAGTCTAACCATTACTGGCCGCGTTTCTTCTATTCCTGTGTACGAGTTACCTATGAAAATTTTAATTGTCATAGCTTCCTGTGTGAAATTTGCGGAGAGGATTCTCACAGATACTGACTGATCACCCATTTTACGCAGAGTCGACACGTTGTCGTTCCCATTCATCTACACGTTCTCAATCCCACCAAAGGTCAACTCGTATAAATGTTGAATATGAAATATCGCTATGCTGTCCGTAAACACTTTTTCCCCGTTAAATATTCTCTGTGTGACGGTTGACGTATACAGCTTTTTTGCTGAAAGGTAAACGTTATACACAATACAATACAAGGCCGGACATGATTCAGCCATACATACTTGGCGGTGTTTTGGCAGATAATGGAAAATGATAGTCTTCCGCTTTGATTGTGTTCTGCGTTCGAAACCAACAGATACCTCTGGGTTTTTTCGCACTGATGATTGCTAGACTGATCAGAGCTGTTATACAAGATACTGGAGTATTAGAGTATATCATTGAATATCAAAAAAATACAATTCAAGATCAAGAATGACGCAATAATCTGGCGTACTAACTAAAACGTCACACAGACATATACATAACCTCAAACTAGACAGAAAAAAAACAATAAACGGTTCTCCGCCTGCACTTACAGTGCACAAAGATTCGATCCACCGTCTCTCGGGTCCAGTCAATGGGGGCCGGTAAATCCAATTCCGGATCCGTGGCAAACCACATTGACGGTTTTGTTTCCTGTAATCGACTGGTGCTCAAGATCCCGGTCATCCATTCCTCATACTGTTTTCTCATCAATCCGGTCAGGGTTGGTAAATCCATTTTCATAAATTTCTCCCGAAATGTTGCCCCACACGAAGATGTCTTGGATAGTGTCTTGATTTTCGTACCCCATTGACAATTCTCCATTGTGGTAAGCATTTTATGCGGAATAAATTCTTGCCAACCGGATCGACTCTCATCGAACCAATTCAATGCACCGCTCGCAATCCAAGCGGATCGAAACCATGGCTCGGAGAAATTCAGTCGGGACTGTAACTGTATTAGAGCCAACGCTCCGGTCGCACCGGTCCCATGTGCCAACAGGACCACTTTACTGGCATCTCCACCGAACCGTCCGATATTGTGCTGTACCCAGGTTAACACGGCCACCTGATCACGTAATCCGAAATTCATATACGGTGTATCTGATTCCGTGGAACCCAAAGAGCTAAAATCATAAAACGAACCAAATAGTCCGAGACGATAACGGGCATTGATCCAAATCGCACCGAAACGTAGCACTGCCTCGTCCGTGGGCAAATAGGCCGGTTCGTTTAGTGTGCGACCGTTCATTGGACTTCGAATCGAACGGAATCCAGTAAAGACTACAATGACCGGAAGCAAAGTTCCTTTGAAGACAGGCATAGCGATATCCAGTGTGAGACAGTGTTCTGTCGCGTTCGCTATAATCTCTCCATTCTCATCCAATTCGACACAGGCAGCTGTACGATTCAGACGTCGCATACGACAATTCCAACGTCCTTCATTGAATTCGCATCGATCGTCAAAACTGAGGAAGCAATACTCCGTGTCTGGAACAGTGAATGTCCGGTGCCAACGAAATCCGCCTCGTTTCATTTTATATTTTTCCGCAATATCGTGCATCACTTCCGGAAAACTGGTATCCGCTTCAATTACCGGTGGTACTGCATACGGTACAGCCCAGTAACGAAGAACCGTCCTATCCTTGTTCCATTCCCCATCCATACTAGCACATTGGGAAATGACGTAACTGGTTGCTGGAGGTATTTCTGGCAACTGAATGATTACCAGAAGTAAATGAGCAATCAAGGCCACAAAACTGATCGCAATACCCAAGAGGAGTAGAAAATCAAACCGTCTTTGTAAATACAATCGTGGTCTGTGCGGATCGACTAAGGGACGCCCGACATCGAAAAAAGCCTCGGGAGGTTTGATTGTTTTAAATGTTACATTCACGACAACTTCATCGGGCATAATTGTGAAATTCTCTATTACACGTATATGAAAGTAATGATTTCACAAAGTAGAAAATTGTCCAGTCCACTGACGAGCTTGACTGATCATCGATCGAATTTGAACTGTGAATCAGATCGATCTTTAGACCCATCATTTCTGTCTGACCTTGACGCAATAAGTTGGGACGAGTGCGATTGGTCAATTGATGCGGACAACCGAACCGAATTCACGTGACTACCTGTTGACTTAAACCATTGGAAGGACAGGCAGTGTGTGTGTACTTGCGCGCCTGTGTATGAGATATTGTCCAGTTCACTTTACTGTGAATTTGTTCAGTAAATTCTGTGAGCATTGTTCAATTCAATTAATACGGGATGGAAAGAAACGACTATGTTGAACTATTACAAAAAATAATTCACGTCGCCTCACGGGGTAAACCAAGTTCATTTCATCCATTTAACCAGAGGAAAAATTGGTTTACAAATCCCCCTTTTCAAATGACAATTTGTCGTGTTTGCTATAGCAAATGAAGCGTGAACTGAAAAGCTCGGAAGCACTGGACAGCTGCTTCTACCTGGTTGGGTCTCATCAGCAGTGCGAATCCATCGACCCGACTGGGGATCGCACCCGGGGCTTCATAGGTAGAACGCAAGCGTGCTACCCACTACACCACCGAGCAGCTGATCAGACCGTTTTTCATTTTCCATTTACACGATCCTTCATTACTCACATGAAATAATCAGTCAGGTTGTGAATGTTTCCAACCGAGTCCTGAGCCCGGAGGCTAGTGCTGAGTTGAGCAGGGTCCGTGGCCCGCAACAAACTCTCAAAGATGTGTTCTGCTATATCGTGTGAATGCAAAATGAAAACGGTCTGATCAACTGCTCGGTGATGTAGTGGGTAGCACGNAACACCTGTCCAGTGCTTCCGAGCTTTTCAGTTCACGCTTCATTTGCTGTATACACGACAAATTCGCATTTGAAATTTAACCAAATCCTCCATTACCCACATGAAATCCCCTTTTTATGGTCGCAGTTCTTCACCACTTCAGTACTTGTGCCATAACCACAAAAATTATCCCCTTGATCAATGATAAAATGAGTTTTATATCATTGTGGTCAACTAGTTGAACGGATGAAATGTATTATTGCCAAACAACCGGAGACACAAAGAGACGAGAAGGCAGTGAGTAGGGCTTCCGCAGCAGAGGCTATTTAGGACGCTTGGTCGCGTATAGGTGCATTTTGTGAGGTGTAAGAGGAGGGTGATCA